AAAGCATTTTAATAGAGAGTGGGGAAACACAAACTGTGGAGTCATAAACAACAGTTTAAGCAGTAATTGCAATCACAAAATAAACCTTCTCATGCTCCCTGAGCCAGAAAAGGGAGCAGGGAATATGGTAGCTGTGCCAGACAGGAAGGATGACGAGCAAAACTAAACCTGGGTGAACTCGTTTGATTTACAGAGTCATTACCTACAACGTGATGATGTGATGTGAAATGACAGGACTAGCCTGGGTAATTGCTGGAAAAGTTTACTTATGTTAGTAGCCGTTGCAGCATATAGAATAAATACAGCAAAGGGTAAATAAACAATGACCAGCTACATTTGAAAAGGACCCACAATTTGCTCATTTCTTAGGTAAGGCAAGTTTATTTGTACAGCATATTCATACACAAAGGTAAGTGCTTTACCTTAAAATATACCATATTGCCAAAAGTATTGGGACACCTGCCTTCACACACACATGAACTTTAATGACATCCCATTCTTAATACATAGGCTTTAATATGGAGTTGGCCCACCCTTTGCAGGCATAACAGCTTCAGCTCTTCTGGGAAGGCTGTCCACAAGGTTAAGGAGTGTGTTTATGGGAATTTTTGACCATTCTTCCAGGAGAGCATTTGTGAGGTCAGGCACTGATGTTGGATGAGAAGGCCTGGCTCACAGTCTCCACTCTAATTCATCCCAAAGGTGTTTGATCGGGTTGAGGTCAGGACTCTGTGCAGGCCAGTCAGACTTCACATTTGGCACGATGCAGTCAGGCAAGTACTGTTCTCCTGGCAACCACCAAACCCAGACTCGTCCATCGGATTGCCGGACAGAGAAGCGTGATTCGTCCCTCCAGAAAACACGTCTCCACTGTTCTAGAGTCCAGTGGCGGCGTGCTTTACGCCACTGCATCTGATGCTTTGATGTAAGACTTGGATGCAGTTGCTCAGCCATGGAAATCCATTCCATAAAGTTCTCTACACACTGTTCTTGCGCTAATCTGAAGGCCACATGAAGTTCGGAGGTCTGTAGCTATTGACAGCTGACGACTTTTGCACACTGTGCGCCTCAGCATGCGTTGTCCCCGCTCTGTGATTTTACGTGTGTCCTACCATTTCATGGCTGAGTTGCTGTTGTTCCCAATTGCTTCCACTTTGTTATAATACAAGTAACAGTTCATCGTGGAATATTTAGTAGTGAGGAAATTTCACATATGGACTTATTGCACAAGTGGCATCCCATCATGGTACCACACTTGAATTCACTGAACTGCTGAGAGCAACCCATTCTTTCACAAATGTTTGTAGAAGCAGTCTGCATGCCTAGGTGCTTGATTTTATACACATCTGGCTAAGGAAGGGATTGGAACACCTGAATTCAATGATTTGGAGGGGTGTCCCAATACTTACGACAATATAATGCAGTTCAAGAGAACATCCTATAAAAGGAAAGAAAATATAAAAATAAAACTTAATACAATTAAAAAAGAAAAAGAAAAGCTATGAAATTTTAAAGTAACTGAATAAAGTGCAGTTTATATAGAAATCTTGAGCCCAAACGTAAGTGCCTAAAGTAGGAGAACATCTCAGATGTTCTGGAAGCCAGTTCCAAGAATGGGTGACATAATATCTAAATGTAGCTTCACTATTTGGTTCTACCTCTGGTTACTGCTAGCTGACATGGCCCTGCTGGGTTTGTATTTGTTAAGCATATTAACAGTGTATTTCGGTCCTGGGCTGTTAACTAATTTACAGACAAGTAGCAGCACTTTGGGGGGTGATGTGGAGGCTTTTCTCACCTAAAACATATTGGATTTTGAGCTGACAACCGGAACGCTGGGGCAGCACGACGACTCAGCACCTTTTACCATCGTACCTCCATGGTTGTGGGTTTCAGTCCCACTCCTGGTCCGTGTACAGCTTATGTATCTTCCTGTGTTATGTTGGTCTCCTGCTACAGTCTAAAGATGTGTAACTGTCATCTGTACAGTGCCGGTCGATGCCCATATGGTGCCCTAAGCAAGCTCCCTTGGCACTGCCCAATTTTACTTTGCCTTGGATGGTGCCCACCTGGTGGTAAAGCTAGTCTGGGGGCACCAGCGGTTTGCTAACTCAGGAGATGCCACCCTGGGCAATTTCCATCCATCCTATAAACTGCCTGCGATGGCGTGTGCGCCCCCTGCTGGTTTGGGGCACTTCCCTGCTTTGTGCCCTATGCTCACTGAGATAGGCCTCTCTGACCTCATACCAGATATTGTATAGGTAACTACATACACTGTTCTATATCAATATATAATACAATACATAATTATAGTTACAGTTTTAGCTAAGAAATTGTGCAAGCAGCTGCCAACATGAAACATTTTTCATTTTCATTGTAATTTTCAGCCTTCTGTATCTGGTTGGCAGGAATGTGGAAAAAACAGTATTAAGAGGCCAGCCTTCTTCACAGCTGCACATATGAGCATTTTACATTAGCCAGTTATTAAAACCTTCTGAGTAACAAAACGCTGCTCGACTTTCTGGTGTGATTTATGAATGCTGACTGCGGTATAATTTAGACTCAAAAAAGTCTGATGAAAATGTGATAAAAGCTGATTGTTGTTCTCACTTGTGACAGATACTGGGCAAATGCTCTCAGTGTTTTTTTTGTTTTTTTGTTTCTTGAGGGTTTCGGCGATCTGCGTGCTGTGTGTCGACGCAACATGGTGCGTGTCGCAATGTCCGTCTGCAGCCAATCGCAACCCTGCAACCCTCAACAGTCCATGCGCTGCAAAATCCCAGTATTTTTGTAGCGTTTTTAATCCACTTAGCGTGGAAATTACACATGGCACTTCAAAGGGGGAACTAAATAAACGTACAACCCCAGTCTCAATTTTTTTTTTGCCTCCAGTCAGAGTGGAGCACACTGCCCTCCTCCCCCGCTGGGATATGCACTGCTCTAATGCGCTGCTTTGCCAAGTTGATCTCTTTTACACTACAGGTAATGCTGCACCCCACTGGAGATTACTAGAGGCCCTGAGGAATCTTGGGAGGGGGGGAGTAGCTGGCTGGGTATCCTGAAGCCGTCTTTGGTGCAACAATAGCAATTTGCCACGGTCAAGTCCTGGTATCAGGCCGTGGGCCCAACGCATGGCCTGGCAAGCAGGGCTTTCCTCAGTGCTTGGAAAGGGGCCGTTTTAGTGTCCGATTACGAAAAAAATATACATCAGTTACAACCTCAGTTATTACAGCGATGCCTTTACAATATCTGCCATTATTGCTGACAGTGGCATTTGCATCTTCCCTCGATTCAAGTTTGTGAAAGTAGGGTATCATTTTCATTTTATGAATAAGTATTTCCCTAATATGTATTCTGCTAATGTGTAACATTGCGACAAACGAAGGGAGGTTATCAGAGGTGGATAGTTCAGTCCAGAAAGTAAAAATCCAGACCAAGATTTGCTTTAACAAACCAGTTGAGTACAAAGAGTCACAGTCACAAAGTACTGAACTGGCTGGGTGAAACAAAATCTTGGTCTGGATTTTTACATTCTGGACCTGAACTATCCACCTATGGAGTTCATTTTGATGGGCATGAAATACGTCATGCAAATCATCTACATGACATTTATGAACTTTTAGCTTTGATAAATGATAAATCCTTTATTTGCCATTTGCACAAGTACGAGTACAGGTGCACTGGAAATTCCCGTCTCACTCTCCATAGCTCCATAGCTCACAGGTTTTTTTTTTTTTTTTAGATTTGTAGCAAAAACACATGAGAAAATCCTGATGAAGTGCAGAGACATGAGGATTAACTGTCATCACCGTGGCATGAATCATTCTGACTGACCTTTTGGATTAATAGGTTGTGCATCAGTGTATGTAGTACAGCAGACTCAATGATCACAGAAGGCTACACAAAGACATGAGACACTGATTATATTTCAACAGCTTGTCCTTAAATATGACTCAAATCCTTAAAAAGTAAACAAATCATTACCTCAAAAAGTTGCGGGTATCTGATGTACATTTTCTTTGTAATATACCTTGTTAATTTCACATGCTGTTAGAAACGTTCCTGATATTCACACATTATGCTAATGTCCTCATCTGTCATTTACCTTATGTGGCTCTCTGTGAATGTGCTAAAATGTGGTTGAAATCCTAGACTTACTTAATTCAAAGTACCTGCTCCAAGTGTTTGGAAAAGACACATAAAAGCAAATTGTACATATGGACATTAATTCACTTTACCAGAATATAAAACGTGCCACAAGGAGCAGACTAATGTCTCTTGGGGCCCTTGGCTGACATAGGTAATGCCCCCCCCCCTCCCCCCAACTGGGCCATTTGAGCTTTTTTTGGAGCCGAAATAGAAAGCAGAGGGAATTAAAGAAGATGAAACATCAATAAAATGCTAATAAAAGCATGGGGTGCCAGCAGGAAAACTTACCGATCAGGGCGGGGGGCAGGAGTGCTGATCGGGGGGAGGGAGTATGACTAAGTTTAACTGTTCCCTCTTTTGCTAAGGTTAGTCTTGGATTTTTGCATACGCGCATTTAATTGTGTCCGTTCACAGTTTGTCTACCACTCTAGCAGGACAGTATTAACTCTATTGGGATAGATAGTACCAAAGAAACTGGAGATATAATGTTAATGTTGTATCTTTGGACCATTTTGTTTTTCTGTCAGGCTACTTTGTACTTATTTGCTTACAGTGAAACAAGCAATAGACTCCAGCGCTAAAGGAAAGCTGGGTAACACAAAGTCTCAATGTAGAATCGTCCATTACAACCGGGACCGGGGCAACTCTGTGTATGTTGACGACTCTCGCTAAAAACATTCAAAGAACGGGCATGTTTTTATCATTTTAATTATCATACTATGTTAGTTCCTTAAAAGTAACTTGTGGGAATTCCCTAGTTTTTGCGGGTGCCCGGCGATTGCCTACCTTGCCTGAAGGTAAAGTCTGCCAGAAGTTTCTTGCATTAGAAAATAAAAGAAAAATAGACAAAATATGAATATGTCATTGTTCCTTTATTTAAGAATAGTGCATTGTGATATAATGTAAACCCAAATTGTCAAATAGCTTTCACAGAGGTGCTTTTACAAACCATACTGGCTGCCCTCATGATCATTTACCATGACTTACAAAAATTCATTCCTAATCACTCTCCACAATTTACACCTGTTACAGTTCTCCCTTTATTCACACAGTTAATGGTGGTAACAGGTTCACTTTGGTTACCTGTTATTCATTAATACTGCGAACTGAAGCCATGTGTCTTAGTCATTGCACTTACACACGCTTAGCTGAAGCGATGGTACCCTCAGGGTGAGTAATAGGGAAAAGCTTCATGTGACTACATAACAAAGTAATAGTCTCACATCAGGAATAACTAATCTTTCTGAAGATCCTGTCTGATGACAAAAAAATAACTCTGGATGTCTGCCGTTTAAGCAGCTGTTATTTGTAATATAAAGTGGGTTATAGAGGAGGAAGTGTGAATAGCCTTTCTGTGATATGCTTAATGACATATGTCATAATAGGCGATGTACATACACTGGCTAATGTAACCCCTATTTTAGTGTAAACACATTGTAATCATAAGGTCACCAGCACGATGTCTAATCATAATTTTAATTACACAAAGAGCATCGTAAAATGTTAAAAAAGTGATAGAAAGATGGAAAACATATAAAAATAAACAAGCTGTTTTAACATTTCAGTGTTGCTTTCTTGGTAAATGTCAATACATAACGCATAACAATGCCCATCTTATATACAAAATGACATATTCAGTCAAACATATTTATAACAATTACTGCAGAATGTATTCCACACTATAAGTTTTCAATGAAGGCGTTATGTTGACATATATTGTTATGTCACTGTCACACTGCTAAAACATTTTACTGTCTTGTGCTTTATACCCAGTTTATGACAGCTGTCATTTATGTACGGTTGCTGAATTCTTACATGGTAATTTCCACAAAAATATGCTTCATTCTGCCATTGGTCAGATGTGATTGCCTCGTTTAACATTGCCGCGTGTTTGAAGCATCATTCAAGGTTGTCTTTTATATCCCTTTTATGCTAAGCGCGAGGACAGCCTGCACTGTCTACGGTCCCATTTAGGCACCTGAACACTAGGATTACTTTGGGAAAGGAGAGAGAGATGCCAGATGATCTGTTCCTCCTCACCCTGTGCTTTTTTTGTGTCCAAACGGTTGATGAGGTCCACCAGGTGGACCAGGTACACCAGGTAGACCAGGAAGACCATGTGGACCAGGTGGACCCAGATCCCCCTTGGGGCCAGTGAGGCCGTGGAAACCTGCAGGGCCTTTCTGCCCCTTTATTCCAGTGGATCCTTTAGGGCCTAATGGCCCATCCTTCCCAAGAGGTCCCGCGTCCCCCTTTTCTCCTTTTTCACCTTTGACCCCTGGGTACCCCAGGGATCCTTTGGCGCCCTTGATGCCCAAGCTGCCTTTGACTCCAGAAGGCCCAGGCTCTCCAGCAGCTCCCTTGGGGCCCATTAACCCATTCTCACCTTGGGCCCCACGAGTCCCCAACAGCCCTTTGTCCCCTTTAGGGCCAGTGATCCCCACAGGCCCTCTGGTTCCAACATCTCCTTTGTTACCCTTCGGACCTGGAGGTCCAGGCGCCCCTGTGAAATATACAGAGATGCATTGATATGGATTCAGGCACAAGATAAAAATGCTGTAAAATGTAAAACTAAGTTAAACAGCAAAATCATAGTGTTTTTACAGTATTGGACGAAAGTCTGAGACAGTCAAAGAAAATGATGTTCAAGCGATCTTCATGTATAAAATGATGGTATCATCCTTGTCATTCTACAGTAAGTGTGTTAGATTAGCCATTTCAAAACCTCTCCTAATGTCACCCCATAATTTGCAGAAACCATGAAATATATCCAAATATTTGTTGACTCGACCACCATCAGACCATGTGTGGTTAACCAATACCTCATCGAGGTATTTCAAGTAGTCATATATTCATTTAAATTCCATTTTTCTGATTAATACAAATATTATTGTCTTGATCCCAAGTTTACAGCCCCTGACCTACAGCAAGGAGTTTGGAATAGTGTTATGCACAAAGGACTGCGAATTTTAGATCAATACCTTTCAAAATGGTGAAGTTCTTGATGAACTGATCATGCTTGACATCAACAAGCTTCATTTCTTCCATCAGCATGGAAAGGTTCCTCACATCCACATCCATACGTATACTGAGATACATATACTGTTGCCTCAGTGTATCAGCAACGTGCATGAGAAGCAAGGCTGTGTTGTTCAGATTGTGTAGGTCTTCTGTGTAGCTACTGAGTCTGGACTGGCAAGAAGTGCTTTCAATGTTGATATACTTGTACATGCTTTGTACATGGTTGACTGTAGCATTGATGCTAGATGATATTGTATCAATTTCCATTTCGATTGAGTTCATTCTGGTTTCCAGAGTCCCAAACCTTTCTCTGGTTCGGTTTTCGTAATACCTGGTGTGATAGTGAAGGTCATGCATATTCTCCTCATGTTCGTCCATGAATGACGTCACGTTGTCCATTTGCATCTGCAGGTTCATCACCTGCAGAGTGAGGTCATGGACCATTTCTGAGCTCATGCTGATCCTCTGGTGTGTGGCAGAAATTCCATTCTGGATGCTTCTTATTGACTGGCTTGTAGTACTGGAGTTGGACTTGATAGCTCCCAGAACCTTGCTGTAGTTCTGCCATTCTGTTGTCAGTTTTTGCAAAACCAGGGTCTCCTCATCTGCCTTTCTCTTAAGGGTTTCAATCCACTGTTTGCTAAGCAGTGCTGTGGTGTTGACTTGTTGAACTGTTGCTTTAAGATCATATTGGTCTTCAATGAAAGACTTCATAGCTTCATCGGTTTCAGTAATGACTACCTGCCAGCCATTTACCAGACCTAAGTAGCTCTCCAGTGACTGGTTCACGAGCCTCATGCCCATGGAGTAATTCTGCATGTCACGTGTCATCCTGTTGTTAGACAGCAAAAGAGTTTGCTGAATCTCTTTAGCCTGGTTTAGCGCTTGCTCCTGACCTAGAATCAGTTTTTGAATGTCCTCCAGTTGCCTCTTCAGCTTGCTGATCTCTTCCCCAAAACGGGTGCCGTCAAAGAGATCCGAAACATTGCTGGCAGTGCTGAGATCTGTGATGGAGACAAAATGTTAAGAAGCCTGTTTCACACACAAAATCTGCCAAAGGAGCAGTTGCCACAAGCTAAATCTCAAACTAGCACTGCATGGAATTATTAAAGAAGGAAACCCAAAGACAGAAATCCTACAGGCACTGTCAGAGTAATCTATGTTTCTCAGTGAGGTATGTCTCTCCGAGGACATCTCAGTGTAACCTGTCATGAGACATGATGGAATGCTCTCACTTTTATTTCACCCATAACGTCATGCTCAACTGACCTCACTGTTACACTCAACTGAAATGTTGTCTTGTTAAACAAAGACAGCTTTCATTTTTTTAAAAGTCAAACGTCAAAAGTCATAGTATTTTATTGTCAACTTCAAATGTATTGATGCCTGGAGTCAAACACTGAGGTGAAATATCATTCTCGTTGCTCATAGTGCAAATGAGACGTAACAAATATAACATAAATACAGAAACATATAATCATAATATAAATATGACATTTTAATAAATGGACATTAATATCTTGCGAAGCTTCTCTGAACCTGCTATTGCCACCATTTCTGCTTAATCATATTATAAAGCTGATTTTACCAAAAGCACCTTAGATGCCATAACTTAACATAACATTGCATGACATGAAATCTCACCTTGTAAACTTTCTTGTACATTCACAATTTTCTTGTTATAAAGGTTTTCTTCCTTGGATAAGTAGTCAATCTTCTGCATGACTTGTAACAGAAAAGAGTATGAGAGCAGAATTTTGATCCAGACCTTAACAAAACATTACCATAGAAATGTTTACATTATAATTAATATTGTTGGAGATTAACCATTATACTTCATCATTTTTATTTTGAGTGATGACAGAAGCTGAAAATCTTCAAATCGAACTACAAAAAGATTCATGTATTAAAAGATTCATGTTTCCATACAGTGAGTAGTAATGTACATTTTTATTAAAGTATATTTGTAACTCGACCCAGACACTAAAGCCTTTTGCAAGAACAGAATGCCAGGAGGAGTTTTTTTTTAAAAAGTATTTGCATATGTAATGTTCTGCAAATTTGGAAATTTGTTATGAACATTTGGATTAAGGAAGGTATAATCGTTTATAACTTATTATGACTGTGATCGACTTAAAATTAGAGGTGAATAGTTCAGGCCCAGACAGTAAAAATCCAGACCGAGATTTTGTTTCAACCAGTCAGTTGATTATAACGAATCACAGTCACAGAGTGTTCAACTGGCTGGTTCAAACTAAATCTTGATCTGTATTTTTTATTTTCTGGATCTGAACTATTCACCTCTCCTTATAATAGTTACACTATATGAACAAAAGTATTGGGACACATACAGTCAGGTTTACAAACATTTGTGAAAGAATGGGTCGTTCTGAAGAGATCAGTGAATTCAAGTGTGGTACTTTCACATCAGTGAAAATGTGGAGTGACGAATCACGCTTCTCTGTCTGGCTGTCTGATGGAAGAGTCTGGGTTTGGCAGATGCCTGGAGAACTTTACCTGCCTGACTGCATTGTGCCAACTGTAATGTTTGGTGGAGGAGGGATAATGGTATGGGGTTGTTTTTCAGGGGATGGTCTAGGTCCCCTAGAACTAATGAAGGGAACTCATAATGCTTCAGCATACCAAGACATTTTGGACAATTCTATGCTTCCAACATTGTGGGCAGTTTGAGGAAGGCCCTCTTCTGTTCCAGCATGACTGTGCCCCAGTGCACAAAGTAATGAACTTAAAGACATGGTTGGGTGAGTTTGATGTGGCAGAACTTGACTGGCCCACACAGAGCCCTGACCTCAACCCCATCGAACACCTTTGGGATGAACTAGAACAGAGATTGTGAGCCAGGCCTTCACATCCAACATCACTGCCTGACCTCACAAATGCTCTTCTAGATGAATGCACTCTTTCCAGAAGAGTAGCAGCTGTTATAGTTATAACGGGGGCATATTGATGCCTATGGATTTTGAATGGGGTGTCATAAAAGTTCCTCTAGGTGTAATGGCCAGTTGTCCCAATACTTTTGTCTGTAACCTCCTGAGACCCCACCCATTCATTTATGTCCATTGTAGTGGGCATTTTGTTTTTGCATCTATCTTTTCACTGATGTAAGGAAACATATTTATTCCTGTTGTACACTAAAGAGGACATGCTGTGAAATTAAAAATAAAAATAAATTTGAAAAAATCTATCTTGTAAGATGTCTTATTTCCTCCAAAGACAAATAACCTACAACTGAAGGACACTTTTTTCCTTTGGTCTCAGGAGGATATAGTGTATTATAATAATGTATAGCCAACTTATTTAATTGAATGAAATTAATTCAATATTATATGATCCTATGACCATATGAAAAGAATGTTAGCAAAAATTTTGAAAAATGCTGAACATATGTCCATTCATTTTCCAGTGTTCATCCAGTACAGGACATGTGACCTTGGCGTTTGTTCTAGGCAGCACAGGGTATAAAGCAGGCAGCTAGACTGTGTACAACACAAGCAGACACAACGGGCAGTTTAGAATGGCTCATCGAACTGGATGTGTTTAGATTGTAGGCGGAATTCTGTCTCCATACAGAGCTGGGTTAGGGGTCAAACCCCAACCCCTGGTGGTGTGGATTCCCTCTGTGCCACCAGGCTGCCCAGTACATGGGACCATCACATGAAATTCCAGCAAGCTCAAGGGCGATTCCAGGGCTTTTTTAAAGAGGGATCTCTTCTTACAAAAGGAGCCAACCTCATCATTAGCCAATGATATGTTTTGAATTGGTGAGTGACAGGGGAGGCCAGTCACTCATAATGCTTCAGCATACACTCCCCCGTACAGACCTCGGAACAATAAATGATTACAGGATTTTTGAGTATGGGACATAAAATACAGAATGTATTGTTTAGGGAGCTCCTTAACTTAATATTTCCAAGGCTGCAGCACTGCTGGATTGCGATTGTAATCGCAGCCACGCTTCTTATCCAGACTTGTCACTACATTATTACGTTTCTTTCCAGATTTGTCCCTGTTGAGGAGCCCCACACGGCTGTAAACAGGAAATTACAGTATAAATATGGAAAATGTCTCGTGACATACAAGACTAAGAAGTGTCCATGCAAGACACAAGGAGCAGAATGGCCAAGAAACTCAAAGCATATCGGTGCAAACCTTTTCCCCCTTTTGCAGTATTCTTCCTAAGTGGTGTGCACCTATGAAGCATAAGTAATAGAACAGGAATGAAAGGAGCACCAAAATTCTGCTGCGCATCATGTACGATAAATACCGGCCAGCTCCATCCTGGTGTCTTGTTTTTTCTCTAAACTGCGAGTTCATTGTCATGTATGTATGTGTATTTATTTAAATCTGAAATATGTGGCACAAAAACTCCCAAAGTGCCAAAGGAGGCAATCTGTTGGGACCTTTAAAATGCATTTCATATGTTATTGAGTTTTCCTTCCTGGAACTTGTGTAACATTGGAATAAACAAAGGTTTGACAGCACAGTCTGACAGCGGTCACTGAAGCGCATTTCCCGTCGCATTTTCAGCTGCGGGTGGGCCGCAGCCGTGTCTCACGGCGGTCAACCCCCAGGCACACTCACCCAGTGACGCCAGCACGGTGACTGCGACAGCGAGGAAAGTGAAAAATGCGTATAGCGCCTTGACAGTCACACTGAGGGAATGCTTCTGCTGGCACTTGATGCAGCCACCTCGGGTCCTTCCTGCAAACACAACATGGCGTACTCTTCACACAATGCCTGTGCCAAGGGGCCGAGAAAAAAAAAGATAATTCATCCATCTTGGAAGCTGTTACATCTCCAGGGTAAATTTATTTAGCTGGTTTTGGATAGATTCACCTTAGTGGAAAAATAAGCATACATTTTTAAGAAATTAATTTCCATATTACAATAGGTAGCAGGCTTACTATGCTAATGAATGCGTAGCAGAGAAATGAAGTCCAAATGTAAAGTCCTGTCATCTTTACAAAACTATTGAAGAAGTGTATTCAACAAAGCACATACAAGAATTACAATGTGGTAGAATCCATCAGCTATTACACCACATAGGACTGTATCTGACAATGTTCTGACCAGCCTAATTCAGACCACACAATGCTTCAGTTCTGGGCCTCAGTTTTTGGCTTTCCCTGTTCAGCTCCATTGTTTTAGATGACTAGTTCTCATTCCAACATTTCAAGGTCATTTTATCCTACAAACATTTGAGCTGTTTCTGACAGAGATTGACACGATTGAATGAACCTCACCTCTAAATGAAGGCATCTCCTCTTCTTCTCCTGTCAGATCTTCTTCTGAAACACAAGAAGTGGAAAAAAAAACTTGGTATCACTTTTCTTAAAGCTGTTTGTCAGGGTTGGCGTCCATCCGTCCCTGTCCTACAGTATGTGTGATGTCCTCATTTGGCCAGCAGGTGTCGCTGGCCATCCCATTCCCTCCTCTGTCTTGTAGCCCCTTAGCCCTAGTGCTGTCTCCCTGTTTCTTTGGGGTGCTGTAAAGGTCTATGGGCTGAGTGTGCAGTTTGGTGGGTGTTCCCTCTGGTCACGGGTTTGAAGCTGGCTGCAGAAGAGCCTTACCTGTTATTTTTCATTTGTGGTATTTTGTTTCCTAGTTTCTATTATTAATTGTTTCCCTGCTGTAGTTGTACCCCATTTCTGTCATGATTTATCATTCCTGTGTATTCTTATGGTCCGAGTCCTTCCTAGTGTAGTTATCTTAGTGTTTTGCTATGTTTCTTAATCTTCAGTTTTTGCTATGTCTCCCTTTGTTCATTTAGTGTTATTGATTTCATCTGTTGCTCGTTGTTCCTGTGCCTTCTTTGAGTGGTTATTTTGATTATGGTTTACACCTGTTCCTTGTTTGCCCCAGTGGTCTATGTATATTTAAGTACCTACCCTCACTCCCTTTGTTAGTCAGTCACTGTGCATGTGTTACTGTGTGTGTACTCTGCCTGGATTTCCTAGTTGTGTTGCCCAGTTTCCCTGGTGTATTTACCTTGTGGTTTCCTTTGGTTAATTCTTGTCTTTCCTGTTTTGTTCCGACCCTTTGTGGTCCATTTATTTTGGTGTTTTCCCCCAGAGTGTTTTAGTTGTATTTAATAAACCCCTGTTGTCGTCACCTTTTTCCTGCCTGTGCCATGACGTACTGTAACACTTTCATCTATAATGCACTATAGATACCTTTATAATGCTTTATAATGGTCGGAATAAGCTTTAAGGATGTTTTGTACTACATTATGAAGGTATCTATAGCCGAGAGCTTCAAAAAGAATTCATAAGGCATAATAAACATGGGTAAAATATGTTATGCTTTTGTATACATATATATAGCTATTTAAAAATGCTTTATGGATGTATTTTAATGTGTTATAAATGAATTCATAGATTTTATTGACATTCATGGAGAGACATGGAAAGTTTTACCAAAAACTCTAAAGCACTATGACAACCTGCTTGTGAAAAACTTATTTTATTGTCTGACAAGGAGACAATATCGCTCAGTAAATGTTAACTCGGTGAACCCAAGAGAAACACCTTGCATTTTAGCGTGAAGTACTTCGTATGATACCTTTAATTCAGTAGGATAAGTTACATATAAACTAAATCCTGGAAAGACAGATGGACTGTTTTATTTGTGTTTTTGTGTAGATATTAATTCGTCAATGTACATGAATGAACTTCAGTATGATAAACACATAAAATAAATCCCCGTTTTGTTTGATATAATGTAATAATGGACTATACGTCTTTATCATTGAGCTGTTGCGTGTAAAACAAACAAAAAAATACTTTAAAAAGCAAAATATTTATGCACCTTTGAACAGCTGATTTTCATATCCACAATGGATCTCTGAAAAACAAAAATAAAATAATGGTGATTGGAAGGGGAAATGGAGAAAGCCAGTGTTTTTATACTGGGAGTATGTGAACCGTGCTTCGCAAACACTCAAACAGACATCCTATTACTCAGATCATAAATCACCAGATTTGCAGACTGTTAAGGTAATAGCATCCCGCTGCACACAGTTTCCAAGCCGTTCAAAGTATCAGACTGAAGCTTGTTTTTCAGCATTCCGCACAACTGCATGGACTATCAGGTACTTATTAACTCACTAATTTATTGATATTGCTGTTTCAAACCAAGTGTGTTATTCAATGGGCTGTAACGAGGCTGTATATGGATTACGACAAACCGTGTCGTGTTAATGGCGTGAAACCTTATCTTTGTGAGCGTAGCAACAGAAACGAAAAAAAAATCATCGGTGTCAGACACATACATTCCAGGCACAGATGTAAGTAAAGCCAGGGCTCTGCTTAGCAGATTGCGCTTCTCCCAACCGTGTGACTGGGGCTTGAATGTGGATTTTCTGCCACAGAGCAAATGCAAGAACACACAGCGCACAGGACTAAATAAACACAACTGCGTGATGCAAGAGCAGGACTGATGCTAATTCGCTTTTTGATTTCTCCACAGATGTGTACTGTAACTGGGGAAATTAGTTCAGCATTGCTTCCTCGTCTTGTATAGATCACACCAGTGATGTAAGCTTCTTATAATGGGCCCCAATGCAATTTTTTTTTTTTTTTTTTTGAGGGGGGGGGCTCCTTACTTCCAAACACATGTCCATGCACGCACACAAAGCCTTTGACCCATAATAGCTAAATGTTACATATGTGCCATGTATCCTATACAGTATATATACAGTTCTGCCAGTTGATCGTGCCAATATTGGTCTTGTAGCTTTTCCCAAAATGCACCAACCTGGCATGTTTAAGTTCAAATTATTGTACACTAACTGACATGAGTTACACAGATACTGTAGGTTGTTCTGTCAAGCCCATTGTTCCACTGCTATTGGGAAGTTTGGGCTAACATGGTATTCACCCAAAGGCTGTTAGGAACAGGATATGCTCCAAAGAGCCTGGTAATATTTTGAAGTGTTTTGACGCTGAAGCTTAGACAGGGATTGTTTATTTCGCTTTCATTTGTATTTATACGACAACTGATCATTGCGATTCAGTTATTCCCTTTGCCAATGCATGCAGCTGAAATTTCATTTTATTCATGACTTTCAGTGTTTATAACACACAGGGGAGGATACTGGATAAAACACTTAAACCTGGGCACTTAGGTCAAGGCTCTAAAAGATAGCATTTTGGGGGAGTAGCGCCGCATGCATTTGTGTCAGAAGTATGACTCCTGAACCACTGCAGTCACATTGCCAAGCCTTGTTTGCATGTAGGCATTTGATTGGTCAATAACCAGAGCAATGGTCACTCGCAGGGAAGATGAAAGGGCTGCCCGTACACCTTTACTGCAGTGTCGTGATGGCATATAATTTAATGTTGAAAGGAGGGGGCGTGCTCATGTGTAATCATGGAAGGACTAAAGTTGGGGGGCTGAGTTCTGCGTTATGCAAAGCGTGACGGGGCTGTGGAATGTTCCGTTTTAAGCCCCCACAGCTGCTGATGGTCTAAGGTTTTACTTTTCCCAGTCAGCAATGCAGGTGACTGCCTGAAAATAGGTCAGACGCAGGACCTCAGGATTACTGTCCAGACAGTAAAGGAGTGACTCCTCACTGCCTGTCTGCTTCTGAAGTTGGTCAAGGAATTTATCCAGGAAAGTGTTTTTTTTTTTTGGTCACTCGCATATAAAGAAAATAAATTCCTACTTCTCCTTCCTGTGCATTTCAGTAGACGATCTATCCACCAAGCCAACTTTAGCGCATATATAAAAAGTAAACAAATAAAGAAAATAAAATGGGCCATTAAAATTGTCTGAGAATTCCTGCTAAAATCCAGCCTTTGGTTACACTTGCAAGCGCATTTGTCACATAAATAGTCTAAACATCTACGTATGTTCCCGCTAGTGATGGATCCAAGAATTCATGGCAAGCACATGGTCAGAGTTTCTGTGGAACGCTGGTCTCAGGAAGAGGAGAAAACAACAAGTGATGGAAGGAGGACAAAACTGTAATCCAAACATGGGTGTTTGATTTGGATTAAATGCATTTCTATGTAAATATGACAGCAGTATAGATAACCTGTTTTCTTTCCCATCTGTTTCACTGTGATTGGCTTAAGAAGAAAACAAGAACTAAACTGTGTTAAAACACCCTTGTAAGCACAGTACACTATGCAATTATGTTTTGGGTCCACTTCGACCTGGGAAAGATGACCGTAACTATATCCATATGTACACCGTTGTAGATAATTTAATGCAAATATTTTCTGTTCTGTCATGTACATTTTCCACTTGAAGGGGGACAAGCTAAACAAAACAAATATTATTTGAGCTATTTAACTGTCTATTGTTCCAGTACATCGTTTTTATATTATTGTTTAGTTTGGATTAGCACATGCTAGTTCTGGATTTGCTTCACATTTTATACTACAGCCAGTGTAAAAGTGTTGAAGTCAGTGTGAAATATTTAATAAAGCAATTTAATGATTAAACCCTGGCCTGGATAAGCAGCTAGAAGATGGATGGAATTTGGAGATTTGGAGGGTATTTGGTGATGTAGTTCACAACGTTCAAGCAAAGACTCAAACCACAGCATTGTACGTTTGACAGCTTAACGTTCGGTTATACCCTGCCAAGCCCTAATGATGTGATCTTAAAAAGTAAATCCATTGCTATAGAGGTGATAAATTTGCTGTTTTTTCAACTAATGGAAGGGGCAGTCTCTTTTGACGACTTTAATCCCATTAAACTGGACTCATATTTACAATTACAGCAGAAATGGTCCATTACAGTATGTGTCTTTAAAGAAATTAGGCTCTTATTTTTTTTCTGCGCAAGCTGTACAGTGTCCAAATAGGCAATGAACTTCTGACAAGTTAAACAAAAACAATGATTTTCCTTTAGCTTTCGATTCAGTTTTGGGTGTAGCTCTCAAAGCGTCGTCGGAGTATTTTGTTTTTGTCCAGTGAAAGCACATGCACGCTGCCAGGTGATTAGTGAGCGAGTCCACCAAGGCAGATAACACAACGCTAGCACACTGTGTAACAGTGAAACTGATCTGAACACAACAGAACTATTTCAGCGTATGTAAAAATAAGTTAAAAAATTCAAGTTCACCCTATAAAGGTTGAACACATTCAAAGTTCCAAAAACCCTGTTGGATGCAAGAACCTTGTATGGGATGCAAGATAAGCCAAGTGAAAGCAGTCATATTCAATGACTATTCCATTTTTTGTAACACTGATGAAACCTTTTTCTGATTGTCACAACACAGCAGTAGGCTGGCTAGTTAGACGCCCATTTTGTATTGACAACTAACACCAGAAGTGTCGTGCCAATGGAAGATTCCGGGCTGTGTCTGTTTCTCCTATAATCACTCTCTGCACACTCTGCACCCTCTGCTGAATGCTCACCTGTTTTCATGCTCTATGGAGCCTGCGGGTCTCATCATCTATCTGTACCAATTACTAGACGAACATGGAGTTTACACATAGCTGAAATGGAGCATGGAGACCCCCAACCTAACAATGCCCCCCCCTGCCCCCCCCTTCATAAATACCTCTGAACTTTATGACACCCGTTTGACCAGCTCAGCTTTCTTCCTTGAGGAACTGTTGAATTTTTCTACCTCTGTAAAAGACGGGTCGCGTTTCATGCATTGTCAGCAGAAGTCAATGCTTTGCTTTCAGTATGGTCCTTATATACCAATCCAAGAACCTGAATCCAAAGAAAAAGTCTGCCTGGTGAAACGGGGAAATTACTAAATACACCGCTTTCAAAGTGAAGTACAGGACGTCTCACATCCAAAGACAACAAGCCAACATTTTTCCTGGACTCAGAGAGGTGCAGTTTATAAAAAGATGCTGTCTGCACTTTTTTGTGTGAATGCACTTTCAAGTCCTGTCAGTAATTTATGGCCAAGGCATTGACACTTCTTACAACATCAACACTGAGGCAGTTGACCTTACCTTTCATGGTGTTGCCTCTAAACAACTTCAGTGGTCAGGTAAAAGTATACAGCAGCTTGGACTGTAGACCCCTCACCTCTCCACAGTACCTTCTTGACCGCGGTAAGTATCCCTACAGGAAAGGCAAAAGGAAAAGCCATTTAAAGTCCTAAGCAGCCAGTGTGTTTACGCCAAAGACATATCCGTAATTATGAGCCCCAGGCTCCTGGTGTGGCTGTCCGGAATATGAAACTGCATTCACCAAGCCAGTCCCCCCAACGTGTTTTCAGAGCTGAAGAATGCCCATCCTTCTGAGGATCCCCGTGTTCCCGCACCAGACCACCTGCACGGTTGACAGCCTGCGTAAACCTCAAACGTATAAAACCCCCGTAGACCTCGTTCGTCAATCAGAGCAAAATATTTGGAGGAGACGTGTAACGTCAGGCACCTCAGACACGCTTCCTCTCTTCCATACCTCAGGAAGAAAATAATACCTCTGTCTGAAACCATGTGCTGAACAGTGAAACAGAGCATAGGGAGGGACTGAGGGAGGCAGGCAGGGAGGGAGGGACGCAGAGATGGCGAATGAGAGGGAGGGATGGTGAGCGAGAGAGCGTGTGCTGCTGCCAGTCAGCACTTTAGAGCTGGCTAATTGCTAACAAATGTCCATGTGCACAGAGAAGGACACCTTCTCCGTCTTGATCAAAAACTACATCTCTGAACCCACCAGCTTTTAAAAGTCAGTATTTATTAATGTCAATCCGATCAGGAGAATGGCTTTCAGACAGATAAATGAACCCTAATACATTTCCATTGCAGATTAAGTCAAATGTCCATTTCAAATAAGTACACTATTATGGTCTTCACTGCACATATCAGATGTTGGGATTATGGATTATGGATTATGGATTATGGGTACCACAGTCTGATATTTCACTGACATGATAACTAAGCTGAACTTCACACACTCACTGTCAGTAATCATTTACACACCACTGGTTTTAAAACGGCATGAACCATTATGGCTTCAATCCCAGCATCTTCTCTGCTTACATGTCTTGAATTTTGTCAAACATACATTTCTAATAAACCCAACTCAGTCCCCTTTAGTGTGATGACACTGAAATATTGAATTAAAGCGATGGTGATCTGATTTCGATACAGCTTTATTTCGTAATTTATCATGGTTCGTGTGCTTCTTTTGAGCTTTTATTAATTTCATAGTTTTGTGATGTTAAAACTATTTCCTTTCGCATTAGCCTTTTATTTTGCTGTCGTAAATGTGATTTTCGAAACACAGGTAAAACCCAAATAGAAGTAGCGTCTGAGTGGTATTATCACCCATGAGTCAAATGCTGTTTGTGTTATTCTGGAATATTGAATGTCATTTAAAACATTTTTGCAGATGCTATATTTAAAATACACTTTGGCTGTACACTTAATATGTCTCATGTGCGTGCCGAGTCTTCCCATTCATGTTCAGTCTGTTATATGGAACATTTCCATAATACTTATCAGTTGTTGACTTCTTTCAGTGCAACTTGGATGTGGTTCAATGTGCCATTTTAAGCTTTATATAAAGTGATTTTTTTTGGCTAGAGTCCTTAATCCAAATCCCAGGCCACAAGTTAGACGTTTCTCTTTTCAATAACAAGAATGCAGAAGAGAAAAATATGTGACTTAATGTTATACATGGGCGAGGAGGTAATTATGTATGTCAAATATTCAGCATAAATGTATTGTCTTGGCCTGAGTACAATGAACAACTGACGAAAATGAAGGGAGACTGGAGCAAGCAGAATAATTGTAAAAATCAGTGTGGAATGACAGGATTTTAAAAGCCTGTTCAAACTACATAAGTAGCTGTCAAATTGGAGCCAAACTTGTTTTTTTTCCCCTCACTGCTAGGCATCCTGCTCTTTTTAGGATGCTGGAGCGTGTGGTTCCATAAATTACAGAAAATACCAGCATACCAAGATGCTTTAAGTCTCTCCATTTGGAGGGATGTCTGTAATCAATTTGTGTATTAAAAACATGACCCAGCTTGATGTGATCAACATGAGACACCAGATAACAAGTTAAAGGAAGGTGTAGAAGAAAAGTGTTTTAAAAATGTAGCTGGTAAGCTTAAGCACCGAGTCTTGATTTTAAATGTGTAATCATGGAATCGACATTTTGGCAGTAGAATAAGATGTTGGTTGGGCTAATCACTTTTAGTCATATGATTCTTGCATCTTTTCTCATAGATATTAGAGTTAACAGACAATGCCCTTAATGAAAGACAGCCATGCAAATTTCTCAAGGTCCAAAACAAAGAACATATGACGGTTTGCATTTTATAAAGTTGTGCTCTGACAGAGTCTTAATTACTACTGCTGAGTTAAAGCTTTTGTCAGCCTTTCTATTCCATTTGACATCAATTTGAACCAGATAAGTTCTGTTCTTAATAGTTTGAGAGTAAGCCCTTTCTGTGGTTTAATCTAGCAACCTTCACAGGGTTATGCCCCAAACCACATTACCACCCATTTTTGGCAAAGACTCATTACAGTCCCAACCCACCATTTTAAAGCTGATTATCTGGCTGGAATTTCACTGAATTAACTTGCAAAAGCATTGCAGAATGATGGTAATCACCTTTGTCAGACTGCGCTGATTTAATCGAGGAAACAGACTAATTACTTCACCACCAATTAAATAAAATGTAGAGATTTTGTTTTAATTCTTTTGTGATACAACGGTTTCTTTGGCTGATGCTGAGCCAGGAAGAAGGAAATATTGTTTTTTATATTCCGTTCTGACATCTGGAGAGATGCAAAGGATGATATAATTAATAACTTTTCTCTACAAAAGTAGGTGGGGAGACAGCTGAGTAGACTAGAATTCCGAGTGCATTCATTGTTTTCATTAGAAACATACACTTCTGGGATTTCAATTTATGAGTTATACTTTAACTCTAAGCTGAGCATTTTTCTGCTTAAGAATTTTTGGAAAATGTCCATGCTAACTCTATGTGCTATGATAATATTTTCCAATTGGTTTGTTGTGTATCTGTGTAATCCAAAAATATAAAATGAGCATCAGGGTGAAAGTAAGTATTTCTGTTTATTGACTCCTGACTCGATGTATCAGGAGAAGGCTGGAGATTCGTAAATCTGACAAACACAAGACATTAACTTGATGGCCGTGCCGTAAAGAAGGAACGCTAATCCTGATGACAGGGTTGTTTAAAATTAAATTACTTCAAGATGAAACCAATCTCTGCAATGCCAGACCTCAAATACATTCCCAGCAATTGGGCCATACAGTCAAATTTAATGGGTCATCGTGAGTGACTGTAGGACCTGGCAGTGAACACACACAGTCATTTAAAGGTCTTTGTCAAAAAAAAGCAGGAAGTATTAATCATAATATAAAAACCAGTGCATTCTTAATAAAGGATACTTACACAGTGCAGTCAATGCTTAATACCAGATTATCTTACTGGAAATGACAAACCTCAAAATAAAACAAACAAAATGCAAAATTGTGCATAATTACCAATAATGCACAGATTGTGTGACCTCTGATTAGGCAGAGTTTTGCAGCCAAACTGAAGATGAAGAAGATGGGTAGCATGCTGTCTTCCTTATTTGATACACATGTACAATGTATAACAAGAGAATCCTGGTTAGATGGAGATGAAAGTTCAATCAGGAGGATGAATTGTCAGCAGCCTCTGATGTGCTAAAGACATTTATCTCTTGGTTGAAAATGAAGAAGATTATTGATAGACAAACTAGCGTCTAAAAGCCCAAATTATCATCACATAACCATGGTAATGACAACTGAGACAATTTAATAAGCAATTGAGACGAGAGGGGCATTGAATATTTTACCTTCCTGGGAATAGTTATGATCAAAAGCATGACCTGCCAGGGAATATTAAGAACATCGTTGTTTGGACGGACGGCCTTGAATCCTCAGGAGAAATTTTTCATCAGTGGCTGAAAATAGAGGAAATGTCTTTACAAGCACATTTAATATGATATGTTTATGGAAACAGTCAACTGAATGGGTTGCCGGAAATAGAAGATTGCTTAACGCCACATAATATCAATACATAATGCAGCCGTGTTGCATTATAAGCACGATGTGTAATGCTGGGTCATTGCAGGGCACATATACAATTTACAGATGCTCATGTCTTTGGTATGTGGGAGGAAAGTCGCTCATGCAAACACCACACACATGATGCTGAAGCAAGATTCGAACCCCCAGCTGTGGGTGTGAGAGGGTGCAGAGCCCAGCAAGCCACCCCACAGCGTTAGACATTATGCTTGTAAACGACATTTGTAGCATATGCTAAATAAGTAAATGGATGTGAATGTTCATGTAGCTGTTTTCCGAAAGTCTTTAAAATTGTTAACTGGATTCTCTACAGGCTGAAATAGCCTATATGGAGGATAGGACATTTTTTTGGAAAACGTTGATTTTCCAAAAATTGTACGTTCCATAGCTTAAGAGGAGTGTTCATTATTGGGTGCACTGCCATCCAGTGGAAAAAGCTGGTATTTTTGTTTTCCATTAATATAACCCTGCTGATGTCATGCATTCAAACACCAATAAGCAAAAATATCGTAATGCACTGATTTTTGTCGATGTTAATTTAAAGGAACGAAGGATAATCCTGGAGAGTTCAGAAATTAGCGAGAGTTCAGAAATTTTACGTTTGCAGATACTCAGCTCTGCATGTGAAGCATGTCTGTGGAAGACAGTGCGTCCCAGTTTCTGCGGCCAGAGAGGCGTAACCAAGGGCGACACTGGCTGTTTGCTGTGGCCCTGCAGGCTTGAAAGTCGGTTTCCCATTGTGATTAACTTCTAACGACGGCTTTACTTACATGATGTGGAATGAAACAGTTCCTGATTTTATCATGTTTAGAGGTCATCTCTCGCCATGTGAGTTTCAGTCGAATGGATAAATGGACTAAATGTCTGAGAAACAAAATATGTCCCCAATGGAAAACATTCAAAATCCCTCTTTATACAAAACATCTCAAATGATTTCCACCCCTGTCTCGCAGATATGATTGCCCTATTTTTTCTCTTGCCACATCTCCTGCGGAGATGGCTATAGCTTGCATGCGTTTGCATGTTTGACATCAGGTCAGCGAAGCTCATTATACAGCCAGTAAACTGTACACATGGTCAAAGAGCAGTAAAGTATCCAGCTGTATAAACAGATGAAGTGTTTGCAGTGAGCGTGGGTGGATGCTATAATATTCTGTCTTGTCTTGTCTGCCTAGGTCTTGGGGTTGTGGGTGTAAAATCCAGCCCACAGCCCTGCTTCAGCAGAATATAACACATTGATCTCTGAGCACTTTAGCTCTATCATGTTACCCTGTGTGAGAAATCTGTGATGGACCGTCGCAAAGTTCAGGCCGCGCTCAGCCGCACATCCTATGCCTCCTGAAATAGCTGCTGAATCACCGTGACCCTGACTGTCGAGGTACTTCCTGAAAATGGACGGATGGATGGATGGATCTGT